AAGATCTTGTCTCAACAAAAAAATCAGCCAGGCGATGTGGCACATGCCTGTAGTCCCAGCGACTCAGGAGGCTGAGGTGGGAGAACCACTTGAGCCCAGGAGGTCGAGGCTGTGGTGAACCATGATTGTGCCACTGCACTCCAGCCTGGGCAACAGAGTGAGACCCCCAACTCGGAAAAAAAGTAATCTATCTATCCCCCACTTCCTCCTCCTGTCTCCCAATCTTTTCTTTCACTTCCTCTTTCCCTTCCCCCAACCTTCATTTCTGCTTTTATGGAATTACACAGGCATCTCATAACCTCTTTAGCTCAGCTGGAAATTGACAGTGGTAATCCAAGGGAGAACTGGGTCAAATTCTATTTTACGTAGAACTAGACTGAGGTAAAGTAATGAAGTGGGAGTCCTGAATGTCAGAGACTCCTTTCCAGGCCTCCTTTGGTTTCCCCATTCTTCTGTCCCCAGCCCCTTTGCCAGACTGGTAATGAGCATGATCTTTTTTTTGTTTTTGTTTTTGTTTTTGTTTTTGAGTTGGAGTCTCACTCTGTTGCCCAGGCTGGAGTGCAGTGGCATGCTCATGGCCACCACAGGCTTGACCTGCTAGGCTCATGGCCACCAGAGCCTTGATCCTTCCGCCTCAGCCTTCCAAGTAGCTGGAAGTACAGGCTTGCGCCACCACACCCAGCTAATTTTTTGATGTTTTGTAGAGATGAGGTCTCCCCAAGTTGCCCAGGCTGGTCTTGAACCTGTGGGTTCAGGTAATCCTCTCACCTCAACCTCCCAAAATGCTGGGATTACAGGCATGAGCCACCGCACTGGCACAAATGTGATCTTAATGCTGAGAGGTATTGCATAATGGGTCTCTAAGCCATCCCAAAGAATATTTGCTTTTTTTTTTTTTTTTTAAAGCATTCTATTTTAAAACACATAGTTTTTCACTCTAAAATAATATATTTTTAAAGGAAACTGGAAAGGAAGAATTTGGTCACTGAGGGTTCAAGGGAGAGAGAGGAGAGAGTGGTGTCCAAATGGCCACTAAATTTGACTGTGGGGACGGACTTATAATCATGAGAATTACATGAACCCTTTGGGAGAGACCCTTGCCACACCTACAGGAAATATTCTATTTCTCAAGCATTCATAGCCACTTTCTTGGAATTGTAGACTATTGTTTTATAATCGTTTGAGATGAAAACTATATATCTGGTATAGCAATAAAACCAGAATAACATAATTTATATAACTCTTGTGTTTTGAAGCCCATGTGCTATCAACCTGGCCTCATTTTAAAAAATGAAAACTAACCCACCCACATGCTGCTAATATGTTTGTAAGATCAAGTCCTAGATATGGAATTGCTGAGACTTTTTTCTCCTTACAAATAACATAATATATACATATTATACACTCTGCTTCCCACCAACCACATATCTTAGCTTTCAAAGTCCAGCCTTATAGAACTGCTCCATTCTGTGTAAAGACTGCTTGCTATTCTAATTATATGATCATACTGAACTTGACTGAAACAGACCTCTATTGATGAGTACTTTAGGTTGTTTTCAATCTTGTACTATTAGAAACAATGTTGCAGTGACTGTCCTTTTACATATGACATTTCTCAAATGTGATATATCTGTAAGTTAACACTTAGGATGGGATTGTTGAATTCAAAGCGTATGTTAATTTTTTTATTTTGATCAATACTGCAAATTACCATCTCTAGAGCTGGTAGTAATTCACACTCCATATATATATGGATGTATATATATGCTTTGTACTCTTGATTTTTTTCCCCTTACACTTCAAAATACGCCCATCAACAATGTATAAGCAATGATTGACTGTTTCTCTACCCTCCTCTCCAATACAACCTGTTATCACACTTCTTGATCTTAAGCAATCTTTTTGGAGAAAAATGGTATCTTAGTGGAGTTAATTTGCAGTTGTTTTATTGTGAGTGTTAAGCATTTTTCAGCCATTTGTATTTTATTTTCTTTGCACTGTTCATATCCTTTGTTTTCTGTAGATTGTTGGGATTTATTTTAGGACTCTTTATTGTTTTCAATTAGCCCTTTGTTGTTTGAGTTGCAAGTATATCTCCCAATTCTGTGTTTACTTTTGACTTTGTATAGATGTATTTTTCTCATGTGAAAACTTTATTTTTATGTTATTAAATGTATCCATCTTATATGTCATGACTTTTGGCTTTTGTGGCATTCTGAGGTCTGCTCCACTCTGCTTTTTCTTTGTTTTTTTACATTTAACTCTGATTTGTTGTGAGGTAAAGCATGGTTTAGGGCTCCAACTCTACTGTGTTGAGTGGCCATCTGGCTGTCCCAAGACCACTTGTTGAATAATTCATTTCTCCTCTATTTGAAATGATACCTTTACATATACCATAAAACTGCAAGTCTTTTAATTCTAGAATAGTAATAAACCTCTGACACAGGTATTTTCCTAAAATATATTTTGTTTAAATAAGGTAGTTTTCAAAGATTAAATAAATGAGAAAGGATAAATGTTGGTTTTAGCATTACAGTTTTGTCCAGTATATTTTGTCTAAAATGTATATAATTGGAACAGAAACTCAGCAGTTAGAAAAGTTGAGTCATCATTTTGTTTAGATGCCTGCATTTTTGCCTGCGCCCAGCCTGGGAAACTTAGCAGACCTTGTCTGTACAATAAATCAAAAAATTAGTTGGGCAGGTAGTGCATGCCTATAGTTCCAGCTACTCGGAAGGCTAAGGTAGAAAGATCACCTGAGCCCAGCAAGTCGAGGCTGTGGTGGCCATGAGCATTTCACTGCACTCCACTTTTGTTTTCTTCCACTTTTGTCTTACCTGCTTAATTTTTTTTTTTTTTTTTTTTTGAGTTGGAGTCTCACTCTGTCTCCCAGACTGGAGTGCAGAGGCCGCTTCCAGCCACCGCAGCATTGACCTGCTGGGCTCCGGCGATCCTTCCGCCTTCCAAGTAGCTGGAACTACAGGCGCACACTACCACACCGGCTGATTTTTTTAATTTATTGTAGAGATGAGGTCTCGCCAAGTTGCCCAGGCGGGTCTCGAACCTGCGGGCTCAGGCAATCCACTCACCTCAGCTCCCAAAGGCACGGGATTACAGGCTGAGCCACCAAGCCCGGCTTGCTTAATTTTAAGAATCCATGATGCTCACAAGGTTGTCATTTGCTTGGACCTGATTTCTTGAATTGCTGCCACGTGTCCTTCTCTTTGTGCACCCACTCACTCTGGGCAACAAAGTGAGACTCTGACTCAAAAAACAAAAAAAATGCCTGCATTTGTGCCAAGATGATGTATTGAATAACGGGAATCTTTTTCCTTCTGGCATTTATCACAGGATATTAAAAGTGGGACCCATACATGGCCAGACCTGTGAATTAAGTGCCTCCTCTAATGAAGGGTATAATATAGAAACATTCAGAGTCAGGGTAGATTAACTAGGGAGAAGTCTCTGTCATCCAGTATAAGATTATTTGATTTATAAATAATTGTATGAATTCAGTTGGGAAATACAGCCTACTTTGAATCTCAGTTTTGTTTTCTTCCACTTTTGTCTGCTAATTTTTAAGAATCCATGATGCTCAAAAGGTTGTCATTTGCTTGGACCTGATTTCTTGAATTGCTGTCTCGTGTCCTCCTCTCTGTGCACCGTCCACCCTGTACCACACATACACCTTTTTTCTTTAAAAGGAACATGTCAGCCTGGCCGAGTGCGGTGGCTCACGCCTATAAATAATCCCAGCACTTTGGGAGACCGAGGTGAGAGGATTATCTGAGCCCACGGGTTTGAGACCAGCCTGGGCAACTTGGCGAGACCTCATCTCTACAATAAATAAATAAATAACTAGCCAGGCATGGTGGCGCATGCCCGTAGTTCCAGGTACTTGGAAGGTGGAAGAATCGCCCGAGCCCAGCAGTTTGAGGCTGTGATGGCCGTGAGGGTGCCACTGCACTCCAACCTGGGCAACAGAATGAGACTCTAACTCAAAAAAAAAAAAAAAAAGGAAAGCGTCTGGTTTATATCATGAAAAACCTTTGGAAGCAGTAGGAAGAGGGTGGAAATAATAATTACATGTAATTATATAAGCAAAGGTTAATTTTAATTGTGTAAACTTAAAAAAAAATTTAATGAGGCTAGAATGATAGAACCTAGGCCTCAAAACAACAAAAACAGTTATATTATTATTATATTATGGTTTTATTTCTATAAGCATGTTTTATTGGGGATAGGAGGCCACAGGAAGCCCTAACAGTTGATTTTTCATTTTTTGTTGACCGTTCTACACTGTCACATAAAAAAATCCAGGATTCTAGACTCACTGTATCAAAAGGCAGAAAAATATTTACTTCTCCTTTGAACGTCTCTAAAATATAAGCAAGATTGATGATACCCTGTACATTAACACATGTATGACAGACTTACAAAATGAGTTTCTCTAAAATTGTTTTATCCAGCCAGAGAGAAGACATGTCCTGAGTACTTTCTCTCCTGGGCATGTGACTAGTTTTTGTTTTTTGTAACATTTCTGTTCTAACCGTGAGGCGTGATTGTAGATGTAATAAGAATTACACTTTCTCCAGCTGGAGACATCGAGGTGGAGGTGGGGCCTTTCCATTTCCTGACAAGCAGCACAGGGATTGGTATTTTGGGTGGTTGAATTTTAGATGTGCAAACACGTTGGTCTTATTTTGTATCACTGACAATCCACAGGGTTGGCTGCTATGTGCTGAACTTTCTGTTCTAGACTCTTTGCCAAGTACTCTATGCAAAACTCTGGTTTTAGTGAAACAGGTTTTATTGTTTTTAGTCAGAGTCATATTATAAGCTGTTGTCAGCTCTGTGATGCAAACAGAGGCGTTGGTATGTATATATAGCCATGCACACAAGCCACCAAAACAAGCCAGTCTCTGTTCCCCTGCTGAGTTCTCCCTCCGTTCCTGTTGTTTACTGCTGAAGACCTGAGATGGTGTAATTTTCTTTTCTAGGAACTTGGAATTAGAATTCCTCGACCACTAGGACACGGACCAAGCAGATTCATCCCAGAAAAAGAGGTATGCTGTTTGTGAAAGTACACAGTGAACTGCCCGCTTTTAAGGAAAGGCTTTCATGACCCACATCTTGGCATCTGCAGCGCTGCTGGTCGACAACATGTTTTACGCAGAGTTGATTGCAGTTAATCATGCTTTGGCAGTGAGTCTTGGGACCGCGAAGCTCTTGTGGTCATGTTGATTTCTAGTATTTCATGATGTTGTTTTAACACCCACATTTAACCAAGTAAAGCCAAGACTTGTTTTTGACCAGCAAGACTCCAGATGGAGTCTCATATTTAGATGTTGCTTAGGTATGCTCACAGAGTCTCTTCGTCTTCACCGTCCCCACAGGCTGGGATCGATGCTAGATTGGATCTTTCATTTTATATATGTGGGAGCATCTGTGCTTTGTTTTCATAAGGATTGTTTGCTATTAGTTCATTTTGGTTCTCCTTCCATTGAGGGAGAGTAAGTGGTTTTGTAGGGAAGGGTTTTAGTGTCTGTTTGCAAGCCCTGCAAGTCCGATCATCTCAATCTGCTTCTATCTGGATTCTAGCCCAGTCTGCAGCAGCCTCTCTAGCCGGCCTTCAAGACTCAGCTTTTGTTACTTCTCCCAGTACATAATACGTGGCTGTTTATTCTTATATAGCTTGCTACCTGTTGAGTTAAAATGTGTCACCGCTCTCTCTCTTTTTTATTATTTTAATTATTGTTTTTTATCTGTAAAGACGAGGTCTTGCTACATTGCCCAGGCTGGTCTTGAACTTCTGGGTTCAAGCAATCCTACCACTTCGGCCTCTCAAAGTGCTGGGATTACAGGTTTGAGCCATTGTTCCCGACCACACACCCCCCCCCTTTATTTTTATGTATTTATTTTAAAGATGTGGGGAACAATTCAGGGTTGGGTATACAAATGTTCATTATGCTGGGCACAGTGGCTCAAGCCTGTAATCTCAGCATTTTGGGGGGCTGAGGCAAGAGGATTGCCTAAGCTCTGGGGCTCGAGACCAGCCTGGGCAACTTGGTGAGACCTCGTATCTACAATAAAATAAAAAAATAAGCCAGGCTTGGTAGCACGTGCCTGTAGTTCCGACTACTTGGAAGGCTAAGGTGGAAGTATTGCTTGAGCCCAGCAGGTCGAGACTGCAGTGGCTATGAGCATGCCACTACACTCTAGACTGAGTGACTGAGTGAGACTCTGACTCAAAAAAAAAAAAAAAAGTTCATTATGCAGGCATGTTGATGAGGTGTGCCCTCTCTCCCCTGGCAGTTTTCCATTACTGCCAATCCCACCACCCCTCCCCTGGCAGTTTCCCACTACTGCCAATCCCTTTCTTATAGTATTATACTAATTGTTCAAGGTCTGCTTATGAGTGAGAACATGTGGTACTCAGTTCTATGTTTCTGTGATGGATCACTCAGTATTATAGACTCTAAATCCATCCAGGTTGCTGCGAAGTTCATAATTTTGTCCTTTATAGCAGCATAATAGTCCATTGTGTATATGTACCACATATTTTTTATCCAGTTCTCTTTCGGTGGGCAGCATGGTTGGTTCCATGTTGTTGCTATTGTGAATAATGCTGCAGTAAACATGCATGTACAGGTATCTTTTTCATAGAGTGATTTGAGTTCCTCCACACACCCCTCTCTCTTAAGCCAGATTTAATCTGCTTCTAAATGACACTTGGAATGAGCCCATATATACCTTCTTTCCTTAACGCCAATTTACAATGTAATCCACGGTTTTTCTCTCCTTTGTACAGATTCTTCAGGTGGGGAGTGAAGATGCCCGAATGCACACTTTATTTGAAGAGTCTTTTGCTGCTTTGGGTCGTTTGGATAACATTACGTTAGTGATGGTTTTCCACCCTCAGTACTTGGAAAGTTTCTTAAAAACTCAACACTATTTGCTGCAAATGGATGGGCCATTACCCCTGCATTATCGGCACTACATTGGAATAATGGTTTGTAAATGTTCAGTGGAATCTTGTTTCTGCTTGTTTTTATTAATCTCTTTAAGAGAGAGTTCATGCTCTAGACATGGGGATAAATACTTACAGTCTGATTTGTGATAGGATTTCTGCTTAGGCAGTCTCCATTTTTCCTCTTTTTAAATAAGCAGGCTCTCAAGTATAACAGAAAAAGAAGGCAAGTATTTATACAATGCTGGGAAATATTCTCTATTAAATAAGAAAATAAAGTAGAACACAAGTTCTGTTTCATTATTTCAAATGGTTTGATTGAAGCGGTGCTTCCTGTTCATTTCGTAAATAAGATTCCATTATTTTATTGTTGGCTCCCTAATTGAAGCTGCTTTTTAATCTGAGGTTCTGAGAGTTGGTATATAGATACAATCTCTAAAGTTCAAATACTTTTATCAGATATTTTGTTTATTCTTGGAATATTTCTAAGGTGTTTTCTATGGTGTATCTGAATTTTTTTTTTTTTTTAAGAGATGGAGGTCTTGCTATGTTGCCCAGGCTGGTCTCAAACTCCTGTGCTCAGGTGATCCTCCCACCTGGGCCTTGCAAAGTGCTGGATTACAGGCATGAACCCACCACGTCCAGTCTGAATTTCTTAAATGTTTATATGAAAACTATATTTCTGTAGGTATGCAAAACTTGATGAAAGCATACTAATAAAAAAAACATAATTAACTGTTTTACACAACTAAAGAAACAGGATTTGTATTTAGTTCAAGGTTTTCATGCTTTTAATTGGAATAATGTTTTTGACTTCTTTTAAGGCTGCAGCAAGACATCAGTGTTCCTACTTAGTGAACCTACATGTCAATGATTTCCTTCATGTTGGTGGAGATCCCAAGTGGCTCAACGGTTTAGAGAATGCACCTCAAAAACTACAGAATTTAGGAGAACTCAACAAAGTGTTAGCCCACAGACCTTGGCTTATTACCAAAGAACACATTGAGGTAAGTAGTGAAGTCGTACAGCTTAGGAGTCAGTTCAGACTTGATTTTTTTAGAGAAGTTTGAAGTTTACAGAAAAATTGCACAGAAAGTACAGGGAGTTCCTCTTTTCTATCTCCTCAGCCCCTTTCCACAGACACACAGTTTCTCCTGTTTGTTATTAACGTCTAGCATTTGTGTGGTATATTTGTTGTAAGTAAGGGGCCAGTATTGATATATTACTATTAACTAAAGCCCTAGCTCACAGTGGATTCGCTCTTGGCATTGTACAGTTCTGTGGATTTATAACAGACATATAGTATCATGCATCCATCATCAGAGCATCATACAGAATAGTTAATAGTCAGTACTCTAAAAATGCCGTGTTTCACCTTTTCCTCCCTGTCCCCTTTCCCCACACCCCTGCAACCCGTGATGTTTTTGTGGTCTTTATAGTTTTCTCTTTTTGAGAATGTCATATAGTTGAAATCCTATAGTATGTAGCCTTATCAGGTTGACTTCTTTTATTTAGCAGTATCCAATTACGGTTCCTCTCTATCTTTTCATGACTTGATAGTTTCTTTCTTTCTTTCTTTTGAGTTAGAGTCTCTCTGTTGCCCAGGCTGGAGTGCAGTGGCACGCTCATGGCTCACTGCAGTCTTGACCTCTTGATCTCAATCTATCCTTCTGCCTCAGCCTCCCAAGTAGCTGGGACTACAAGCACACAGGACCACACCTGGCTAATTTTTTTATTTTTCTATAGAGAGGAGGCCTTGCTATGTTGCCCAGGCCAGTCTTGAACTCCTGGTCTCAAGCAATCCTCTCACCTTGGCCTCCCATAGTGAGCCACCGCACCTGGCCCAGTTTATTTCTCTTTATTGCTGAATAATTCTCCATTATATGGATATACTGTAGTTTGTTTATTCATTCACCTATTGAAGAACATCTTGGTTACTGCCAATTTGGGCCAATTATGAATAAAGTTTCTATCAACATTCAGGCGCAGTTTTTTTCTAGATAAAAGTCTTTGGCTCATTTGGGCAAATAACTAGGAATGAGATTGCTGAGTCTTATGGTTAAGCCTATGTTTACCTCTGTAAGAAGCTGTGAAACTGTCTCGCAACGTGGCAGTATCTGCATTGTTGGCTGCAATAAAGGAGCATTCGTATTGCTCCACATCTCTGCCAGCATTGGTATTAGTGATCTGAATTTTGGCCATTTTAATAGGTGTGGAGTAGCATCTCACCTCTTTGTCTTTTAAATGCTATGTTAAAGTAGTTCATTCTGGTTCTATTTATTAACAGAGGTAATAGAGTAAAGGTAGATTGGTGGCCTCTAAAATGTCTACCATGCAGTAGCAATTATTATTATTATTATTTTTGAGTTGGAGTCTCACTCTGTCGCCTAGGCTGGAGTGCAGTGGCACACTCATGGCCACTGCAGCCTCGACCTGCTTAGCTCAGGCAATCCTTCCGCCTCAGCCTTCCAAGTAACTGGAACTACAGGTGTGCGCCATCACACCCAGCTAATTTTTTTGATTTATCGTAGAGCCAACGTCTTGCCAAGTTGCCCAGGCTGATCTCGAACCCCTGGGCTTGGGCAGTCCTCTCGCCTCAGCCTCTCAAAGTGCTGGGATTACAGGCTTGCGCACCGTCCCGGCTTTTTTTTTTGAGTCGGAGTCACACTCTGTTGCCCAGGCTGGAGTGCAGTGGCATGCTCACTGTCACCACAGCCTCGACCTGCTGGGCTCAGGTGATTCTTCTGTCTCAGCCTTCCAAGTAGCTGAAACCACAGGCAAGTGCCACCATGTCTGGCTGATTTTTTTATTTATTGTAGAGACGAGGTCTTGCCAAGTTGCCCAGGCTGGTCTTGAATCCCTAGGCTTAAGCAATCCTCTTGTCTCTACCTCCCAAAGTGCCGGGATTACAGGCTTGAGCCACTGCGCCCAGTCAGTAACAATTCTTAAAAACCTGTCTTTTTGATCTTGTCTATTTTATAGAACACTTTAGATATTGTTATATAATTGAAGAGATTATGAAGAAGATGTAAGATTTGAATATTAGTACCATGTCTTATATTGTCAATTAAGGAAAAATTATACAAGATTATAAATTAGATGATGAAGCAGAAGGGACACAGAATTGAATTTGAGGAGCTGTGGAATTTATGTATAACTTTTAAAATAAATATAATTTGATGATTTAGGAATATTTGGAGTCACACGGTGTTCAAGCCACTTATCTTAAAGATTCTTTGAGGATACCTAATAATAAACAAAACACAGAAATTTAACATAGTAGCTTCAACTATAAACACAAATTTATTACATTTGGTTTCAGTCTCTGAACTAACACCACAGTAATTCATTCATAATCCAGCATCTGAAATACAGCAACAATTGCTTTTAGGCAAAATGTATTCTATTTACATTTTTAAATCAATATTTCAGAAAATCAAAGTAATAATGAATGTATCATTAAAAGTTTATGTTAAGATCTACTTGTGATCCATTTTCATAAAAGTTAGCAAATCCTAGGCTCTACATGTTTCCAGGGGCATTTTCTCACTAGGCTTTATATGGTGGCTAATCCTGTTGTCAATAGATTAAATACTAAGATGAACTATATACTTTTACCACATCCCAATACAAAAATATATTTTCTTTCTTTTTCCCTAAGGGACTTTTAAAAGCTGAAGAGCACAGCTGGTCCCTTGCAGAGCTAGTACATGCAGTAGTTTTACTCACACACTATCATTCTCTTGCCTCGTTCGCATTTGGCTGTGGAATCAGTCCAGAAATTCATTGTGATGGTGGCCACACGTTCAGACCTCCTTCTGTCAGTAACTGCTGCATCTGTGACATTACAAATGGCAATCACAGCGTGGAGGAAACTCAGGTCAACTCAGCAGGAAATGTTTCTGTAAGTATCCAGTATTTGTTATGGGATTGTCATACAACTAATCACAGTAATTGCCATTATGTTATTTCTTCATTTGGCTTCATAGAAAATCTACCCTGTTGGCCTGGCGCAGTGGCTCATGCCTATAATCCTGGCTCTTTGGAAGGCAGAGGTGAGAGGACTGCCTGAGCCCCAGGGGTTTGAGACCAGCTTGGGCAACTTGGCGACAGACCTCGTCTCTACAATGAATTTAAAAAAAAAATTAGCTGGGTGTGGTGGTGCATGCCTGTAGTTCCAGCTACTTGGAAGCCTGAGGTGGAAGGATCACGTGAGCCCAGCAAGTCGAGGCTGCAGTAGCTGTGAGTGTGCCACTGCGCTCTAGCCTGGGCATCAGAGTAAGACTGACTCAAAAAAGAAAATCCACCATGTTAAGTCCATAGAAATATTGGGCCCCCTATATCAGTTTATTCAGTAAGGATTTATTGATTGCCTCCAAATATGCCCATTACTAGTCTGGATGCTATACAAAATTATGCAAATGGCATATACAAAATGACAAGATCCTCTAGGAGTTTACACTCAAATAATTTTAAGATCAGAAACCAATAACACGTGCCCCGGCAAGGCCATAATATTGTATAGCTACTACAGTGAAATGAAGAAAGGCTGGGAACAGTATGGCCTGATGGTGGGGACGTCCTGGTGCTGATCACACCCTTTTCTTCCTTTCCACACTAAAGAAACAGGCTAACCTCTTAATTTTTCATCTTGTAGAAGATTTAATCTAGAAATTCCTCCCTTTAAAATTCTTTTTTGCTGGGCTCAGTGGCTCAGCCTGTAATCCTGCGCCTTTGGGAGGCTGAGGTGAGTGGATTGCCTGAGCCCGCAGGTTCGAGACCCGCCTGGGCAGCGAGACCTCATCTCTACAATAAATCAAAAAATCAGCTGGGCGTGGTAGCACATGCCTGTAATTCCGGCTACTCGGAAGGCTGAGGCGGAAGGATCGCCGGAGCCCAGCAGGTCGAGGCTGCGGTGGCCGGGAGCGGCCACTGCACTCCAGTCTGGGCAACAAAGTGAGATTCCAACTCAAAAAAAAAAAAAAAAAATTCTTTTTCATGTTTTAACTTTGTACCAGTATAGAAGGTGATGTCAGTGACTATAAATTTGTTAAAATGCTTTTACCTCTATTTCTTCTCTGGCTTTTATGTTTTCTTAGTTTTGTTAATCCTTTGAAACAGATCAGTACAAGTTCAATTTTCTATAAGCAAATTTTCTACAAGCAAATTCCTGTATATAATGACCAAACTGCTCTTATGCATTCTTTTGCTGTAGCAAAAAAGCAAGGGTTTATATTATACTTCAAAAGAGAAATCAGAGAAATAGCGTCATAGCCGTCTGAACACTGCATACATTTTCTGAGCCATATTATTCTTATGAACAGATTTAGACAGGTTGAATTGCCTTTAACTGATATATTTGACTTTGGGCAAGTTGTAGAACCTCAGTTCTTTCATGTCCAAATAAAGGTAAAACACAAAGCTTTTGTGAGGGAGAAATGAAATGTCTCTAAAGAGGTAAAATACCTGGTATAGCACTTAGCATTTATAAGGTGCTAAATAAGAGATAGTATTTACATATGGTGAAATTATCACCATATGTAATTAGCAGGCCTGGGACTACAGGCTTGAGCCACCATGCCTGGAAAAGAGAGTAAGAAAGGTATTTTCCCGAGGTTGATCACAGAACAGTGCTGACACTGCCAAAGGCCATCAGTCTCACCCTCCTGTGTGCTGTCTAGATTCAGGATATAGTCCTGCATATTGTTTATCAAATCTCAGAGGTTATGAGAGGACCCAAGAGAGACTGTATTGGTTGCTACAATGCTAGGAGATGTGTCCTTCCTACCAATAATTTAGTACAGGCTAAAGAAAAATATTTGATTGGGTGGGCACGGTAGCTCACCCCTGTAATCCTAGCACTTCTGGAGGTGGAGGCCAGACGATTGCCTGAGCCCACAGGTTCGAGAAAGCTTGATATAAAAAGCCCGGGCAATTTGGCCAGATCTCGTCTCTACAATAAATCAAAAAATTAGCCGGGCGTGGTGGCATGTGCCTGTAGTTCCAGCTACTTGGAAGGCTGAGGCGGAAGGATCACCTGAGCCCAAAGGTCGAGGCTGCAGCAGCCATTATAGCCTGAGTTAGAGTGAGACTCTAACTCTTAAAAAAAAGAAAAGAAATAATACTTGATTGTTTCTGGTTATCCTTCTATTAAAGAGAGAAGGTAGTGAAAGTATAGAATTTGTATTTCTCTAGTAGGTAGTCTCCTGTATTTCCAGAAAAGTTGGATGCTTTTAGAATGGTTATAGCCCACACTGATGACACGTGACAATGAGCTAATATAGCTAATTCTTCAGGTATATATCTGATACCTGACTCAGCCCTTCTGATACAAATGATACAAAGCAAACACAAAAGATTTTTCTATACAGTATCATCATTTTAATACTAAAGTGAAATGCTTTAATTTTTTTTTAACCCAAACAGCTCTAGCAGGTCAGTCAAGAAACAATAGAAACATTCTTTCTTTCCTTCCCCTCTTATTTCAATATAATTTATCGAGAATTCTCTTTCCTAAGAATATTTAAAATTTGGTCAGTTTATCTTAGAGGAAGATGAGTAGACAAAATAGATACATTCATATAAATGAGGGATAATTTGAGTTGATAGAGATTTTTTTATAAAAAGCTTGATTCTAGTAAGCAACCCAAGCCTTTTCAACCTTTTTGTTTGTTTGGTTACTGATCCTGTCTCAGGAATAATTATGGAAACGTATGCATCAGAAGAATCTTTAATACAATCATACAAACACTTCTCATCATGAAATTATTAGAGAAAAGGCTTAGTGCAAAAGTATTTTGGTGTAACTACTTGGATCGTATGGAAATATAAAGCACAAGAAATAGAAATTATCTCTTGATATAAAGATTATGCTTACAGTCATTCTGCAACAAATATTTCTTAAATATGTACCAGGTACTGTGCTAGGATCTGGGTATATACAAGTAAACTAAACTCAACAGACAGGCCCCCTACCCCTGTGAAGGTTTGGTCTGAGAAGGAAGCAGGCATTAAATCAATATCACGTAACTCATTATAAATGGGTTGGTACTCTGAAGGAGTTGTGTGAGAGTAGCTGGGGCTTGGGTGATAGGAGATGGGTGCTTAGGAGAAGCATGTCAGCTGATCCCCAAAAAATCCATGGGTGGAAGTCAGGAAAAGAATGGAAGACAAGAGGTCTTAAAAAACATTCATGGGCCAGGCACGGTGGCTCTAGCCTGTAATCCCAGCACTTTGAGAGACTGAGGCGAGAGGATTGCCTCAGCCCAGGGGTTCAAGACCAGCCTGGACAACTTGGTGAGAACTCATCTCTACAATAAATCAAAAAATGAGCTGGGTATGGTGGCATGTGCCTGTAGTTTCAGCTACTTGGAAGGCTGAGGCAGGAGGTGGCTGTGGGTATGCCACTGCATTCCAGCCTGGGCGACAGACAGAGTGAGACTCCAACTCAAAAAAAAAAAAGAAATTCGTGGAGGCTGGGTGTAGTGGCTCATGCCTGTGATCCCAGCACTTTGGGAGGCCTAGACAGGAGGATCACTTGAGCCCAAAAGTTGGAGACAGCCTGGCAACATAGTGGGACTCCATCTCTATAATTTTTTTTAAAATTCCTGGCAAGAGATATGAAATATATAAGGGAAAACATTAATTTTGTATTTGAACACTTAGATTTGAGATTTTAAGACTTCTGAATATATCCATTTTATAAGATATAACTGCCATAGATGTGATCCCATGTTCATAGTAAGGGTGCAGTGGGCATAGAAGTGTAAGTGGTTTGACCAGTTCAAGACCACTGGCCAGTACTTATGTGCCAGATCCATTACTATGGGATGTGATGTGATGTGCTATAGTAATCCCAGCAAGTGACAGCTGCCAGACCCATTTGCAGAAGTCAGAGGCCAACACCAGCCAAGTAAGGAAATGTTTCATGTTTAACTAGTAAATTGTATATAGAGCTGATTACTAAAGATGATAGATATATGTTGACAGTATGCCCAGTGTACACAGCTGAGGCAAAACCACTTATATTGTGTATTTGTTTAACAGATTGAACAAGCAGAAATTAATTCTTAGATATTCCATTCTGTTTTTTGAGTGTTTTTTTTTTTTTGGAGTCAGAGTCTCACTCTCACCTAGGCTGGAATGCAGTATCATGATCATGGCCACTGCAGCCTCAACCTGCTGGGCTCAGGTGTTCCCTCTATCTCAACCTTCCAAATAGCTGGAATTACAGGCACACGCCACCATGTCTAGTTAATTTTTCTTGGTTTATTGTAGAGACGGGGTCTCGCCAAATTGCCTAGGCTGGTCTTGAACCCCTGGGCTCAAGCAATCCTCTCACTTCCACCTCCCAAAGTGCTGGGATTACAGGCATGAGCCACTACACCCAGCTTCAGTTCTGTTTTAAATTGACCAGCAGTGTTAGATTTTGATTTTTAAAACAGAATAAATAGTAATGACATTATTACTAATTTTATAAGGTAAAACATTAGAATGTGTTCTTAAAATTATTTTTCTCCTATAATTCAAAATATGCTTGTCTGTATATCCAATACACCAAAATAACTTAGTTTTTGACTCATTTGTATAAAATTAAAAAAAATTTTTTTGAGTCAGAATCTCACTCTGTCGCCCAGGCTAAGAGTGCAGTGCACAGTCACGGCCACTGCAGCCTGGACCTGCTGGACTCAGGTGATCCTCCCACCATACGCCACCATAATTGATTAATTTTTTAATTTATTGTGGAGACGAGGTCTTGCCAAATTACCCAGGCTGGTCTCAAACCCCAGGACTCAAGCAATACTCTTATCTCTGCCTCCCAAAGTACTGGGATTACAGGCGTGAGCCACCACACCTGGCTAAAATTATTAAGAATCTACTTTTCCTGTATTCTGTTAAGATACAAATTCTTATGAGACAGGCTTAATAAAAGACAATTCATTAATATTCTGCATCTGCCATATGTGATGTTTACTGTGTTTTCTCTTCAGGTGAGTGATTCCTTCTTTGAGGTCGAAGCCCTCATGGAAAAGATGAGGCAGTTACAGGAATGTCGCGATGAAGAGGAGGCGAGTCAGGAAGAGATGACTTCCCGTTTCGAAATGGAAAAGAGGGAAAGCATGTTCGTCTTCTCTTCAGGTAAGAACAGCCTCACCTGTGTGATACAATTTCCTTTGTCAACTCAGCTCTTTTTTTGAGTCAGTCTCATTGTGTTGCCCAGGCTGAGTGCAGTGGCACTCTCATGGCCACTTAGCCTTGCCCTGCTGGGCTCAGGCGATCCTTCTACCTCAGCCTTCCAAGTTGCTAGAACCACAGGCCTGCACCGCCAAACCTGGCTAATTTTTTAATTTACTGTAGATACGAAGTCATTGCCAAGTTGCCCAGGTTGGTCTTGAACCCCTGGACTCAGGTAATCCTCTCACCTCCACCTCTCAAAATGCTGAGATAACAGGTGTGAGCCACTGTGCCCAACTTTTTTCCTTTTTTTTTTTTTTTTTTTAAATAGATACAAGGTCTTACTATGTTGCCCAGGCTGGTCTCAAACTCCTGGGCTCAAGCAATCCTCCTGCCTCGATCTCCCAAAGTGCTGGGATGACAGGTGTAAGTCACTTAATGTAGGTGTGTCCCCTTTTGTTGTTCTTTTTTTTTTAACAGGGTCTCACTCTGTTGCCCAGGCTGGAGTGCAGTGGTGCCTTCATAGCTACTGCAGCCTCAACCTCCTGGGCTCAAGAGAGTCTACCACCTCAGCCTCCCAAGTAGCTGGGACTACAGTCACATGCCACTACACCCAGCTAATTTTTTTATATTTCGTAGAGATAGAGTCTCATTATGTTGACCTGGCTTCTCCTCTTTAAGTTCATAAAGTCCTGAGATTGCTTCCAGCTTTTAAATTCTATGATTTGACAGGTACAGTGGCATGTGCCTGTGGGCTGAGGTGGGAGGATGGCCTTGAGGCCATGAGTTCCAGATGAGCCTGGGCAACGTAGCAAGAGCCTCATCTCTCAAAAAACAAATACAGCCGGGCTCGGTGGCTCAGCCTGTAATCCCACGCCTTTGGGAGGCTGAGGTGAGTGGATTACCTGAGCCCCTGGGTTCGAGACCCGCCTAGGCAGGTGAGACCTCATCTCTACAATAAATCAAAAAAAATTAGCTGGGCGTGGTAGTATGCGCCTGTAGTTCCAGCTACTTGGAAGGCTGAGGCGGAAGGATCGCCGGCGCCCAGCAG